TCCTGGGTGACCATGATGGAGACTTTTGGTGGGCAAGCATGAGGCTTTCTCACCAAGAGGGGCCTAAACCAGGATGGGGGCTCCTCTGCCAGATTCTGCCACAAAAGGATATAGGGGAGTTGATCCGTGTGGCCCTCTGGGTCAGGCCGGGTAATGACAGCCTTGACCTTGCTGATGGTGTCCAGGGAAAGGGACCCCTGGGTCGGCCAACCTGCTCCAAAGGTGGGCCATTCAGTTGAGCAGAAAGTGCCAAACTTACCCTTCCTGATGCTAGGGCTCAATTTCAAAGCCCGTTCCTTCACCTCCTAGAAGTGAGAGAGGATTAAACTTTTAGGAGTGGCCTGAGTCTGGCCCATGGTAGAGGTTACAGAAGAGAGAGAGAGAGAGAGAGAGAGAGAGATGAAAAGGGAGAAGTAAAGATGCCACTCTAAACAATGATGGCCAGTGAGTGTGCTTGTGGACGGGTGCCTTCCTTTGCCCAGTTTTTCTTCTGCGGGGGACGTGAATTTATCTGGGATTCATGCCTGGGACCCCCTTATCCTTTCACGGGAGTCTTTTAGCGGCGAGCGCCCTGTGGCTCTTACTTGCTCGACCCGTGCCCGCGGGGCTTTTAGTGGCTAGAGAGAAAGGAAGATATAGAAAGACCGTCCTGTCTCCACCCGTGTGGGCAGTCGGGATCCACCAAGAGGGCTAAGAGCCTTTGGTTTACGTCAGGGAGTGGCCCTGACCAGAAAAACCTCAATTGCTCCTTCGCCTTTAACGGTCCCTCGCGAAGACTGGATCAAGAATAAAAGAGACAGAAAAGACAGAGAAAGTTAAAATAGAGAGTGTAGAGAAAAATACAAAACTAGATGTTTCCTTAAAATGCTAATATACTATTAAGTGCATACACACCGTGTTATATCACATTCAAATGGACTGGTCCTTCTTACACTCAGACACATACAGCACTCACCATTCTTGCTTTCAGGATCCCCAGATACAGATACAAACAGACAACAGAAAACCTCGGCGAGCTCTCTGATTCAAAACTGAAAGTACAGACCGGGAGGGGAATAGCCAAGCCAATTTCCCTTCTCCCAAGGTGAGGAGACACTGTTTTCCTCACTTCAGATCACCCTGGTCACTAGGGCCAGAGTGCTGGAACCTGGGGTCTCTGGGCACGTCTGCCACTCCCCTTGGTTCCCAGAATACAGACTTACAGGTCCTGTACAGGCACAACTGTTCAGACGGAACATTCCCAGAGCAGAAAATGACTGACAGACATTAAGACCAAGACAAACCACAA